GTCACTGAGGGCCTTTGAGCAGCCAAGTAGCCCAGTTTGCGCAGAGACACTCAACAGAAGAACAGTGCTGATGAGGCCTATCTGGACTCTTAGATTTTTCCAAGAGGCCGGCATGGGGAATCTTGTGTTCCCCTCGTCCCCATCCAGGCTCAGCGGAGGTCGGCGAGCTGAGGGCTTCCAAGGTGCCTGGGCAGAAACACTGAGGATCAGGACAGAAGCTGTGTCTGTCCCAGCCCCGACGCTGTCTTCACCATCATCTGGGAGGGAAGGGGCTGGCATGGGCAGCCCAACCCTGGCTGAAGTGTTCAGGCTCTCTTCCAAGCGGCTCTGGGGAAAGGTACCCAGGCAGGGACGATGTGCAGGCCGGTCCATACAGACAGGCGAAAAAGGAGGAGGGTAAGACTCAGAAAGGTGTGCGCCCTCAGACTAGACAAACAATGCCACAAAGCCCGAAGGAGAGAGGCCAGAGGCGAGCTTGGCCACCCATGCCCGCATGCATCCACACACAAGTGTCCCTGGGCTCCCTCATTACTGCCCCCGCGGCGCCGTGGGCCCTGAGCAGCCAGCAGCTGCGCTGGGCCCCTGCCCGAGCTCTGCCACGCTCCAACCTTCTGGGTCCGCGTCCCGCTCCCAGCCCGGAGCCGAGAGAGCTCCAAGGCGCACTGCCCTGACGGCCACAGCTGGGCAGAAGGCGGAGAATCAAAGGCCTGGGGCCGAGCCTGGCCTGGGGAGGGAGGTCAAATCACTGTTTCTTCCTGTGTCTCAGACGACACCCGAAGCCAGTCTGGGGCATTTCCGCTTTGAGGGGGAAAGAGGATAATCACTGGCCTTGGAGATCGTCTCGCAAACCGGGAACTCTGTCCACTGAAATGAACATTCACAATCTTCCCCGCTTCTCCGAGTCCCAAGGCAGCAGGCAGAGCTCAGAACACCCAAGACACCAGGATGCCGGGTGATTCTGGAGAGCCACTCCTGCCCCACAGGCCCACGAACCCAAAGGAGGACGTGGGCCTGCTGAGAACTCACCTCCTCCTCCGGGGGCAGGGCCACGGCTTCCCCAGGAGAGGCCCCCGCCACAGCCGGGCTCTCTCCCGCTGGGTCTGAGGCAATCTACCTCGCGCCCCTCTGTCCTCGGCTCAGGAACCAGCGCAGCGCCTGGGGAAGGGCGGAGGAGCTAACCTGGGGGCGGGGGCTGCTCAGGCTCCACTCGGACCCCAGCTCGCGGTACGCAGCGGAGCCAGTCCGCGTCCTCGCGGAGGTCCGCCCCTGTCGACGCAGCCGCCGCGGAGCTCCTGGGCCGTCCCGGCGGCCCCTGAACTCCCCTTTCCGAGACCGGGGGGGCGGCGCTGGGAGAGGGCTCGGAGGCAGGGGTTAGGCGCTTCCTCGAGGTGAGCTGGGAGACTGGCGGCCGGGGAGGCAGAAAGCTCGCCTCTCTGGGCCCCAGTTTCTCTGCCCGCATGATGGTACTTCTCTGTCCGCGGTATTTAAGGGAACCAGCAGGAGAAAGCGTTAGAAACCGTGTTGTCCCGACTAAGCTCCGGGGGTCCCCGCGCCTCCGTGGAGCAAAATAAGGCCATACTCTTGCGAACTCGAAAACTTCCAACACTCTCCCTACACACACACTGCCTACTAGGCGAGCAGAAAACAGTTCGCTTTAATCTTCGGCTACTTCTTTGAGGAGAGCATCTCATTCCCGCCTATGAGTGGGAACGACTTTAATTTTCCTCAGCAGCCTGTCTTTTTTTTAACAACCATTTTCGTCTTGAAAACAATTTAAAAGACAAGATGATCACGGGTTGGCGAAGCGCCCCACTTCATCCTCTTGACCCGGTGGAAATGAAGTGACAGGAAGTCCGGCACTTCCCAGATGGGGAAACTGAGGCCTAAGAAGGACAGCAAATAGTTCAAAGCTGCTGGCCCAGTGACAGCTCCCACGCGCTGCCACTGCTGCAACCAGCGGCCTGGCTGGGCGTGACGCAGGACGGACTGCCTTTGTGGCGCTCTGAGGCCACACCTGCAAGCCGCCGACCCTGACTATCCCAGAGTAATCCAGAAGTCCCTGTGTTCTAGCTGCCCCGAGACCCTTAGATCTGATTGGCAAGCATCCGGGCCTAGGGCTTCCATTGTCCCCCTGTAAGGAGCCCGGCGAGGGCCCGGACTTCAAGCACAAGTGAGGACAGAGAACTCAGCAAAAGACAGAGGCTGCAGGCCCAGAAGGTAAGGAGCCCAAATACCTGAATTTCCCTTCCAGTGTAGAACCTCCTCGGCACAACTTTAAGCAAGCCCCTTTGACAATCTGGGCCTGGTTTCCTTCCAGCTTGAATTTCCAAGATTTCCTTAAGAGCAGGGTACCTCTGCATCTGCCTTCAGGGGCATCTGGGTCAAGAGATATGGAGGAATTTCCCATAACTCCTAGAATCCCCTCCTTTATACTTAAGAAACTCTTCAAAACTCGGTAGTTAGGGGAAGAGCTCTAGCATCTTCTACAGATCACCAGCACTCCTCCTCTCCCCCCAGAATTTAACATAAAATAGCCTGTGAGGGGGCAGGTTTTTCCAAAAGGTGCTGAGGATACACTCAGGGCTGTAGGCGGTCAGAAGAGGGTGGAAAGCGCCCAGCATCTGTCCACTTCAACATCAACCCACCCCAGCTGGACTAGAAGAATGATTTCCAAGGGACAAGAACCAACTCTGTAGCTCTCAAACAGTTCTCAAGGGGTCTGTTAATCCTATACACACTCAGGAGAACTGCCCCAGAGAAGAGGTGAAGACTGGATGAGAAAACTGAGGAAGTGGCCTGGCACTGAGCGGATCTTTCTGAATAGTTTTGATCCAGACGGGTTAACTGTCCCAGTGCACTCAAATCCTTTAATTCAAATTTTACATCTTCAAAGTGCAGAATTTTGAAATGTGTTATTAGAACAAAACATTTATGGAACAGCATTTTTAGCATTCTTTGTTCATGAAATCCTAGAATCATAATCTTCATAATTCTAATCTCAGGATGCTAATGCTTGGTCTGATGCATAGGCAGAGCTCAGTAGCTGAAAAGTTTGAGAAGAAGGAATCGGGTTTCTAGAAGAGTGTGTCCACAGTCACATAACAAAGAGGATCAAAACATCCTGAGACATGAGGCTTCTAACGATAGTAACTGGAGCTTAAAAGTCTCCATCCATCTTAAAGTCATTAAAGTATATGGTCATAAATATTATAAGACTTGTTAGATTATTTGAGTTATAGAATAGTGGATCTAGTACTAATATTTTAGAATTAAATAAGAGAGATGTGGATTTATAGGACCCAAATCTTCCAATCAGACATTCCTAGACAGGAATTAAAATTAAGCAATATGTACCTTAGAGCTGTAAAAATGTCTAAAACAGAGAAGCTACAACTGCCAACAGTGGCATCATATTTTCAGGCACAAAATCTTACTCCCAGCATCTTAAAAATATAAGGTATATGCTTTTACACTCTGAAAAGAAGTTTAAAGTCATAGGAATATAATCACAGTCAAAGAATTTAGACACTGGTCATTGAATCTTAGACTTACAGAAACACATTATTTGATTTAGGGATTCATGCTAGGATAGTAGTCCAAATTTTAACATTTGGAAATCTGAATCTTGGAACCATAAAATTCAGTATTAAAAGACTGCTATTTTGTAATCTGGTCAAAAGTTAACAATTTTAAACCTTTTCCCCCTTTGGAAAAAAAACAGGATGAAACCTGGATTTTCGCAGCGTGGTTACTTTGGAAGAAGGAAGCTGGGAGTGTTTCGAGCGAGTGAAAAGCCTCTCCAGTCGTTCGAGTGTGCATCCGCGGAGGAAGGTCCTCATGCAAATTGTTCGATTGGCTTCCACACTCGGGTCGGCGGAGCGAGGACTTGGACTCTTTGCACCCTGCTTCCGAAGGCAGTTGCCCAGTGCTTGGAGGGGCTGGGCCAGCCCGGAGCTAAAACCCTTGAAGGCTGGCCGCCCGCGCTCTCGCGGCTCGCTCCCCCCAACCCTGCACCCACAGCCGGAAAGCTGCATCTCAGCTGGAGCCTCGGGTCGGCACCAAGTCTCGAAATCCTAAGGATAGAAGCCTTCCTCCCTTCTCATTCCAAGATCTGCACGTGCTTTCCGCCTTCAATTCTCAGAAAACTGTGGGCTTGCGACTGGGAAGGGACTGGCCCAAGGTCTACCTGCAAATGATCATAAAAAGAATCCAGACCTGCGGGGCCATCGATTCAGGAAGTCTTGGGTGAGGCCGAGCTCGGTCTTGGGAGGTGGCAGGAAACGAACTCAGAAACCGGACACCCTCGAAGCAAATGGGTCCCCCGTGCCCGCCCCTTTCCAAGGAGAAGCGCCCCCTTCCCCCGGCCCCCGCTACTCTCAGCCCTCCGCCCCGCTTCGGGATGGAGCTGCTCGGCTGCTTGCAGCCTGCTTGGCCTGAGCGAACTGGAGGAGATCACCACGAGAGGGCAGAAGCCCAGCCTTCATCCTCTTTAAGCTGTGCTTCACTCCCCATCATATAGAGAAGGGTCCCGAGCCACCCAGATGATTGGAGGTGGGGGTAGTGCGGTGTTTCCCTAAATATCAGCAATGGAAGGACACGAGGTACAAAACCTCGGTACAGTCGGGGAGCCTGGCACCCAAGGAGGGGAAGTGGCTGCCTCTGGCACATGGCGAGGAAACGCACTAACAGAGGCAGGCAGGTGTGAGGTCTGGGGAATCCGCGAAGTCGCGGTGGAACTGCAGCAAGTCACATCCTCTATAAGACCTAGGAATTATGTCTGAAAGACGAGGGACTGGATGGAGAATGGCCAGGGCAGCCTGGACTTAGGGTTTGAGAATCACCCCAGAGACCTTGGGAGCCAATAACCGGGGGCGTCTTCTCCCTTCCTCGCCCCCACCCACAAGAACCAGGCGCCCCTTGTCAATTCTCACCCTCCCCAGCCAAAAAAGTGAAGCGAGCCCTTCCTTTAACCTGCGGGTCCCAGCCTTCTGTACAGGCTGATGAAGTCCGGAAGCGCTGAGTCTGGGCGCCGACAGCTCCTGCCTCTCTCGGCCTCATTCTCCCCGTCGGTGCGCAGAGAGGACAGGCCGGGGGGATCTCCAAGCGCCCTCCGCGCTCCGATCGTGTGGTTCCCGCCGCGCCGCCACAGCTGCTCCTACCTGGGGAGGTGCGCCGGGGCCCAGGGGGCGGGTAGTCGGGGGGTGGGGGGCGGGCGGGGAACCGGCACCGCCCAGAGCTTCCCGGCGCCTTTAAGGAGGAGAAACCCGCGGAGGGAGGAGCCGGTCCGGGTGTGTGCAGGGGAGCGCCTCGCCAGAAGTATTGACTGCTGGAGGCCAACCCTACGGAGAGGAAGAGTGGCCGGCCACCGCGCCTGGCCCGCGCCGCGACCTCGCCACCGTCGCCTCGCCTCCTTGCTCTCCGCGCTTTCAGCGGCCGCGGCCTCAGGGACGCGGCGTGGGCCGCCCCCAACACGGCCCCCCACACCCCTGCATTAACTGCTACCGTTTCAGGCTTTGGGGCCCGCAACCTCCTCTGCACTCGCGACCTCGACGGTCATCCTCAGAATCAGCGGGAAGCCCAGAACTGATGCCGGCGCCTCAGCCCCAGGACCAATTCCAGACCCGTTGACCGCCTGGCACCAGCGCGCAAAGGACCCTTCAGCCCCAGACAGAAGGCTAGTTCCAGTACCAGCGTCGCTGCCGGCGCCTGGCTTCGAGGTCCAGAACACGAGCAGCGCCGTCGGTGGGCGGGACACTTGAGCCTCGGTCCGCAGACGGCCGGTCCGGAAACAGCGGGCGCCGAGCCTCCTGCGAGCCCCCGGCAGGGAAGCTGTGCTCCGGTGCCAGCTGCGAGGACCCTCTCAGCTCTCTGCAGAGGGGCCCAGCGTCGGTCCCCGTGACCCGGTGTCCCGGGCCCCGCAGCTCCCAAGGCCGCCGCCCGATTCTCGAAGGCAGCGGGGACGCCTCGGGGACGCGGGACGGCTGCGCCATGACGGCCGAGAGCGGGCCGCCGCCGCCGCCGCCGCAGCCGGAGGCGCTGGCGGCCGTGAAGGAGGAGCGCGGTGAGGCGGGGGCCGGCGGGGGACCTGCGGAGGCCGCGGGTCGCGGCGCCGGTGGGCGGCGGCGGAAGCGCCCCCTGCAGCGGGGCAAGCCGCCCTACAGCTACATCGCGCTCATTGCCATGGCCATAGCGCACGCGCCGGAGCGCCGCCTCACTCTGGGCGGCATCTACAAGTTCATCACCGAGCGTTTCCCCTTCTACCGCGACAACCCCAAAAAGTGGCAGAACAGCATCCGCCACAACCTCACGCTCAACGACTGCTTCCTCAAGATCCCGCGCGAGGCCGGCCGCCCGGGCAAGGGCAACTACTGGGCGCTCGATCCCAACGCCGAGGACATGTTCGAGAGCGGCAGCTTCCTGCGCCGCCGCAAGCGCTTCAAGCGCTCTGACCTGTCCACTTACCCGGCTTACATGCACGACGCGGCCGCCGCCGCCGCCGCCGCTGCCGCCGCCGCCGCCGCCGCCATCTTCCCGGGCGGGGTGCCCGCCGCGCGCCCTCCTTACCCCGGCGCGGTCTATGCCGGCTACGCCGCACCGTCGCTCGCCGCGCCGCCCCCGGTCTACTACCCGGCCGCCTCGCCAGGCCCGTGCCGCGTCTTCGGCCTGGTGCCTGAGCGGCCGCTCAGCCCAGAACTGGGCCCCGCGCCCTCGGGGCCCGCCGGTTCCTGCTCCTTTGCCCCGGCCGGCGGCTCTGCAACTAGCACCGCTTACCAGCCGGGCGGCTGCGCCGGTGCCCGGCCCGCCAACACTTCCGCCTATGCGGCCGCCTACGCTGGCCCCGACGGCACGTACTCGCAAGGGGCCGGCGGGGCCCTCTTCGCAGCGGCTGGCCGACTGGCCGGGCCCGCTTCGCCCCCCGCGGGTGGCAGCGGCGGTGGCGTCGAGACTGCGGTGGACTTCTATGGGCGCACATCGCCCGGCCAGTTCGGAGCGCTGGGGCCCTGCTACAATCCTGGTGGGCAGCTCGGAGCGGGCAGTGGAGGCGCCTACCATGCTCGCCACGCGGCTGCCTATCCGGGCGCGGTGGATCGGTTCGTGTCCGCCATGTGAGCGGAGCATACAGGCGAAAAGTCATAGATACCTCGACTGTCCTTACGAACTAAGTATCCACGAAACCTGAGGACAGGACTGGACAGACGGCCGGATTGAGAGCCACGTGGCAGGGACCGAGCCGGCGTGACAGGCGCAGACTCGGGGCACCGCGTACCCCGGGCGCCTGCCGGGCGGCTTTGAAAACGGGAGGTGGGGAGAAGCGTCCGAGGCCCATGGACTGGGACAACAGGCCCTCATAGAGGCGCAACTCCAAAGGTCTTGCCTTTGACATTCTACCGGGGAGGGCCCTCGGCTCTAAAGGGGGCAGAAGGTAGCGTCTACTCCAGAGTCTAGAGGGATGGTGGAGAATCACATGATTTCACTCTTCCCGGTACTTTTCGAAACTATTTACACAGTTCGACCTCTTGTGCCTTTGACTACCTTATTACAATAAAAGACTCCTATAGCGTCTTCCTACAGAAGGTGAGGAGGACTAATTTGCAAAAGAAGTAACTTAAAAAAAAAAAATGGGAAAGATCTCTTTAGCTTGACCGAGGCCTGCTTTTCCCAGCCTCTAAGAACTGCAAACCTGGCTCTGAATCTGGACTGTGCTGGGTTGCCACAGTGTGACCCAGTTCCATCACTCACACCCCCAGTGTTCCCATGTGATATACAGGAGGGCTGCAGAATTCAACCGGGCCCCATATGATCTTTAAGGGCCCATCAGGGTTGCTGCCACCCTGCACATTTGGCAGCATGAGTGGGCCACCCAAGGCCTAACCTTACTCCAGGGAATGGGAACAGAGCTCATGGCAAGCAACTCTGGATTAGCTCCAGGGCCCGATTATGTCATAATTTCTTGAATCTTTTCAGCATGATGTGCTGATCATTCGGCAGCTATTACTGCTGGGTCATAAATGTGGTTTTCCAATGAGGCAGGTAGAAATACATTTGTCCATTGCCCACTCTTTCTTTTCATTAAGCCCTGGACCCAATGGGTGAGTTAAAATTCAAACAGATGACAAAACTGTCTTGAGTCTCTTGGTGACGGCTTTCATTTTGTGGGCTGGCCCTTCCACCCCTGGCACCCTTTGCCGTACCTCGGTAGCCTCCTCATGCAAAAAAAGAAAGAGAAAAACTAACTGGGGCAGTCAGTTAGGCTTTAGAAAGAAACCGGTATTTAACTTTGTTTTGTTTCCATTTATTTCTTTTAAGCTACAAGATGACCAAGATCAGAAAAAAAAAATAATAAATCCAACCATTTCCCCACCTTTCTCATGAGAAATCTTGTAAGTTTCAGTTCTGGAGCAAAACTTTCTAGCATTAAATATTTCAGAGGCTCATTGTGCAGTTTCAGATAAACTTGAGTGTTCATATGAACTGTTTCTAATAAAGATCTTTGAGTAAGTGAGTTCTAGCAAGAGAAAGGCAGCCTCTTTCTGCATAATTAATTTACTAGGGAAGAGTTGGGGAGTGTGGGAAAGAAAACTGAAAACCATTGGTAATTTTTATTTTTAATTTCGCGGATTGCTCTATCCTGTTCACAGAGACGTGAATGTAATTCAGTCCAGAAGGGTATCTATCTGCCTAATAAGTGCTGCCCAATAGAAATATCATGCAAGCTGCCCGTGTAACTAAGATTTTTCTGGTAGCTCCATTTATTTTAAAAACAAGTGAAATAGTGAGATTGATAATATACTGTATTTAACACAATTTGTCCAAACTGTCATTTCAAGGCATAATCAGTGTAAAAATTGTTGAGGTAGTTTATGTTTTCCATACTAAGTCTTCAAAATCTGGAGTGTATTTTACACTTATAGCTCATCTAAGTTTGGACCAACCACAAGCCAAGTGCTCAATAGCAGTGTGTGGCTGATGGCTACGGTGTTAGCGCGAGTCTAGACACTGGTCCTTCCTGACTCTGACGGTAGTGAACGACCACCTGGAGGCAGGGAGCAGCTGCAGCGCTGACCCTCCGACCAGTAGGTCCCGATTTCAGACCTAGCCCTGTGACCTTGGAAATGCCTGGGTGTTAGGCCTCCCTCATCTCCCTATGGATCCTTACAGGTTGAAATTCAGAGGTTCTCGTGTGCAGCTAGACAGTCTGGCTCTCCCAGGCAGCAATCGGGATGCCTTGCCTAGCTGGCAGTAGTCAGAAATTGAAAGGCTTCCACCCCAGGGTCTTGTCCTTGGCTGCCTAAAGCCCAGCTGGGGGATTAGGGCTGGAAAAGGGTAGTCTATGCGCCCGGTTAATGTGGCGGTTGACCCGTTCTCTGTGTTTTATTTAGCAAGTCCAATGCTTTGACAGCGTCATTAACCAGTCCCTTCTCTGGGGTCCTCATTTGTGAGTGGGAATGTGTGACCCCTCACTTAGAGTCCTCCTAAGGTTAACCGAATCAAGAGAGGCAGATACGCTACGTAAACTGTAAAGCGCTTGGCACACGAGGGAAGAAGGGCTTTAAAATTACAAAGCGCCGCCTTACCCCGAAGCCTCCTGGAGCGTCGAGGTAAAACCCGGGCGAACGAGAAAGATGGAGAGGCAAAGTGCACGCGTCTTCACTCCCAACTCTCCCTGGAAACTGGGACGACAGGTGAGATGGGGCCAAAAGCCAGAGTATGTGACGGGAGAGGGGCGTTGCGAGCTGGGAGCTGGGTGCGCACAGCGAGCGCCCGGAAAGACAGCGGGACCTCGCGGTTTTGGAGAACGTCGGCGCTTTTCGGCCTCCTGCCTGCCGGCAGCACCCAAAGCTCGCGGGCCTGCCGGACGCTTCAATCACAGACGGGCCGAGCCGAGCCGACCGTCCACGCGGCCGAGCCGTTCGCGCGACTCTAGGACCTTGAGAGCAGCCACTGCTGCGCCTAGCGAGAGCCCGACTCTCCGAACCCCCAAACCGCGAAACAGGACCTCCCCTTCTAGGGGCTCAGAGTCGGGGGGTGCGTTTCTCTTTTTTCTTCTTCCTATCTTGAAACCAGAAAAAATTGTGTGCCCCTCTCTGGGCCCTGCACCCCCAGCGTCGTGTGCAGGCGCCCCCCGGGCTGTGGGTAATTAGATGCGTTCTTTTCTAATTTCCCAAGGCTCGTTAGAATTCGCCCCAGAGCTGTAACATTTATTTTCTTTCAAATTAACTTTGCTAGCAATTAAGTTTAAGAAACCAGCAACAAAAGGAGTCTTGGCCCGAGGTCGTTTACTACGAAAACGGATTAAGGAATCTTGCCCGGTTTAGGGGGGAAGATTCCCGCAGCGCCAGGGGAAGCGTCCCCACTGCAGAGGCCGAGCGGGCGTAGGAAGCTGCTGTCGGCGGCCGTGGATGGTGACGGCATCGCCTTCCTCAACTGGACGACCCGTGCGCCCGAAAGAGTGCGGGTAACCTCACTGAAGTGAACTCGTGAGCGTTTGGGTTGAATTCCACAGTCATGACATGAAGCTGCTGTACACAGTTACAGTTTATCCAGAACACTCATAAACATAATCTCATTTACTAAGAACTTCGTGAGAATTTTTTCATTAAAACTACGTTTTTATTACAAAATTGGTACACTTTCATTGTTTAAAAAAAAAAAAAACAGAAAAAAGAGCCAAAGTAACATTAACTCACCCAGAGAAAGCACAGAGAACACCTCAGTGAGTATCTTTTCTAGTTTTCGTTTTTGTTTTTCCTTTGCAAGAGGCCTGAGTCCCAACTTTGTCACTGAAATGCTTCGAGATCTTGACAGAGCTTGCACCAGCCTATGTTGCACTATCTATAAAGCTGGCGGCAGGTCCCCTTTCAAGCTCACATTCTTGAACTGCTCTTTTTTTGGTCATCTGAACCTAGGATGCTGTTTTCCAAGAGCCAGTAGAAAGGTTGGGAGCAGGCTTGCTGTCCCTGCCGTTCTGCACAGGAGACAAAGGCCTTGTAGCTCTAAGTGTGGGCCATAGACTACCAGCATGAGCATCCCCCAGGAGCTCGACAGAAATGCAGACTCCCAAGCCCTACCCAGATCCACTGAAACTCAAACTGCATTTCAACAAGACCTAAAGCGATTCTCTGCCCTAGGTAGAGAGGCAAAGCTTTAGAGAAGTGTGGGGCGAGCTGGGGCGGGGGGGTGCGGTGCGGGCTGGGGGGGGGCTCGGTCGGTGAGGGGTAAAGTGTTACATTGTTGACCGGAGACCCCAGAATAACTTCCAGAAGCTTCCCATTTCTGAGCAAGAACCCCAACCAGAGATGGCTGTGGAGAGAGGTGGCTTGGGTGGAGCCCTTCACCTCCAGCCTTGGGTATACTTTACAGTCTTGGAATCCTCACCTTTCAGATGCATCTCATCTCATGTTCCCTGTCTGATGGGTGTGACTGTGACAGTGACTTAAACGAGAGTGTATCTGAAGCCATCTTAAAAGCTGGGGTGTCAGAGCCTGGCCAGGAACCCAGGCTGAGCCACTTGGGAGACCTCGGGCTCTGGGCTCTCTATCCTCTCAGCGGCAGTCGTTTGCCTAAATACGGATTAAGCTTGGCAACTCTAACCCCAAGTCTGGGCTAGTTGGGGTTTAGGGGAAAAGTAAAGCTCACTTCTCAGGACCCAACAGCCAGCAGGAAGAGCTGAAGGATCCTCCAGTAAAGCAGTTGAAGGGTCCCTGGAACAGCCCAAGATTCTGAGTGCCCTAATGAATCTTCCCCCGCCCCCATCCCCACAGTCCCCCCATTCCCACCCCAGATACACACAGCTTTTTAGAGAATTTAGTTTCTGTGCTCATCCTGTTCCTGAGAAGTGCTGACTGCTGGGGCTGGCATGACAGGATAACTGGGGGTGGGGGTGGGGGTGGGGAGGTCCCTGATGAAAAGTGGTTCAGACAAGGGGCACGTACCAGACTGGATTCTCTTCCCGGAATCACAGAACAGCTCAGTGGAAGAACCAGGACTCTGATCTCAGTGCTCACATGAGTTTTCAATAATAGGAATAAATAGGAATACGATGTGTCTGTATAGAGCTTCTACAGAGCTAAAGGGACGCATGACTTAACCCAGCTCTCATAGCGCTAAGTGTCCAAGCCTGACTAAAACCTATGCCTCTCTCAAGGGAGACTAAATTTGATTATCATTCTCATAAAAGGCAATGTGGAAATGGAAGTAATCAAATGGTGGTGAAGATGGGGGTTGAGGGATGGGGAAGGAGTGCAACTGGGTGGGGGGCCTCCATTGTATGGATGGGTAAAGTGAGCCTGGGATGAGTTAAATACACAGCTTAGAACTACCCAGAGGGAAGGCAGTGTGGCCAGCACTTTTCAGCCCAAACTGAGCCTCGAACTAAAGAAAAAGCAGGGCAGACAGGTAGGGCAGAAGGAGGATGCGAGGCCTCCCTCAGCTCTCCAGGTGGGGACCAAAGCTAGCAGAGCTCCTGGGATGGAAAGGACGACTGCTCCAGGCAGAGCTCCCTCCCCATACCCCTCTGCCAGCCCCACAACCCCTCTTCTGAGAGCTGAGGCTCAGATTTCGGGCTCAGCCCAGAAAGGTTAACCGGGTGCAGAGGCACGTAGTCAGAGAGGCCCTGGGGATCGCCTGTCAGCCCCTCCCAGGGTGAGGAAGGGACTGGGAGCCAGAATCAGGGTGGATCTCTGCCCTGGTCAGAACACCGGCTTATCTCACTATCTGAGAACTTGGAGCAGCTGCCCAGCTATGATTTTCCCTGCATGGAGGCAATCAGCAACCAGAGATGAAGTGTGAGCAGCACAGCCTCATACAGCCCAACTCTCTCCTCCGCTCTCAGCTTGTCGCCAGCCAAGCCCGCCCCTGGATGCTGTTACCTCCACCCCCCATTCTGCCCACACTGCCAGCCTCACTTCCAGAAGCTGAGCTGCAGTCCTGTGGATGCAGGCTCCCTTTTGTCTGTAGCAGAGAGCCCAAACTCCTCACCTGGCATTTGGGACCCTGCAGGATCCTTATGCCAACCCTCTTCCTGGCCTTATCTCCCACAGTTGCCCTTCCTACACCTCTAGGCTCCAGCCAACACCCCACTTGCGGTTCCTAGACACCCCTATGTGTTCCAGTCACCCCAAATTTGCTTTGACCATTACCCCTCCAGGAACCACCTAATCCCATCTAGCACCTCCAAGGACAAAACCCAGCAGGATCCTCCATCATCCCTCTCCTGGATCACAGCATCGGCCTCACACACAGAGCTCCCTGATCCCTCCACTCCTCTCCTCACTCATTGCCCACAGCAGCCAGTGTGTGACTCAGCTCAAACATGAACGGATCATGTCATTCTGCTGTGGAGGTCCAGACCTCGGGACAAGGGAATGAGATCAGAAGCCTGTGTGTTGGTGAGCAGCCTTGTGAAGGGTTTCTTTTTTTTTTTTAAGTTACGCAGGGTCGTTGTTACTGCGAGCAGGCTTTCTCTAGGTGCAGCAAGCAGGGGCTACTCTTCGCTGCAGTGGATGGGCTCTCCTTGCAGTGGCTTCGCTTGCTGCGGGCCACAGGTGTATGGGTTTCAGCAGTTGTGATGCACAGGCTGAGCTGTTCTGAGGCATGTGGAATCTTCCTGGACCAGGGATCGAACCCATGTCCCCCTCCACTGGCATCAGACTCTAATCCACTGTACCACCCCGGAAGTCCAAGGGTTTCTTACACTATGAGAAAGTTATACTTAATATGAGCATTTTCAAAATCTCCCCCTCCCATGTAACACTTTCCTTTTATCCTAGATTTCATCCAAGCTTCATACGACGACTCAACATTGGGGTGTGCTCACGTTTTCTCTGTACTGGTGCTCAAAAGAAAGAACAGTGTCCCATCAAGGGGACTGGACAAAGGGGTCTTTATGGTACAGCTGAGATGCAGCATACTGGGGACAACTGAACAGTGGGCAACCCTGGACAGAAATAAAACAACACGCTCTTTCTGGCTTATTCAAGAAGAAGGTGTGCCAGGTACTGATAGCTGTCTACCCATTCATTCTGCCCCCTCTCTGCTCACAAGACCCTGATTTTGTTCAGGTTGCAATTGGTCATGTGTTATAGGGGATGTCTTACCCACTGGAGTGCCCACTGACTCAATCTGGACTTATCTAAGGTAGACATGGTGATGATCCCATCACTCCTGCCACTGATTATTGTGAAACAGGGCCAGGATACTTTTCAGGCCAGTGAGATATACAGAAAAGTCTGCTCAGGACTTCTGGGAACTATTTTCTTGTTTTTAAAGCAACAGGGGGCAAGAAATAGCCATTTTCTTCCTCTTACTGTTGTTAGAGTGTGACTCCTGCAAGTGTGACAGACATGTTGGGCTTGGAGGGTACCAGCCTAAGAGAACAAGCCAGCCTGCTGACAATGGCAGAGCCAAAAGGTGGGAATAACCTGGGTACCTAATGACATCACTGAGCTACTGAAAGAACCAACCCTGGAGCAATTCATTATACCTGTGTGCAATAGCAAACATCCTGCCATTTAAATCTCTCTGTTACTTGCAGCCAAATGCATCCTAACTAAAGAAGGTGACCCTTTTGGAGGCAGGAAAAAAATTGATTCTTGGTTTTACCATTGAGATTTCCTTTGCCATTCTTATATTAAAAAAAAAAAACATACAGCTGAAAGGTAATCTAATCTTACCCCTTGATTTATAGAAGGAAAAAGCAAGGTTGGGCTTTCCCAAAGGCTCATCAGGTAAAGAATCCAACTGCACTGCAGGAGACAGAGGAGATACAGGTTCAACCCTGGGAAGGGAAGATCCTCCAGAGAAGGAAATGACAACCCACTCAAGTGTTCTTGCCTGGAAATTCCACAGACGGAGGAGACTAGTGGACTATAGTCCATGGGGTCACAGAGTCAGACACGACTGAGCACATAAATAAAGAAGGAGACT